TTACAATTAAATTTTTGTCCCTTCCCAAAAAAAATTTTGGACACGGTCAGTTTTGAAATTAATGGAATTAAGTTTGACCTCAATTTATGTAATTTAATTACTATTTAAGATTTTTGAATTTTAAAATTAGTAAAATTAAACCTTTAATTTCTAAATTTTTATAATTTAATTACTTTTTAGGATGTACTTGATATAAAGTTAAATAACAGTCCCTCTTACACTTCAATCCTGACTCTGTTCTCGAATAAAAATATAAGGGTAAATTACTCATTTAGTACCTAAATTATTATTTTTATTTATTTTAATACTTAAACTTTTATTTTTTTTCCAAAACTATACCTAACCGTTTTTGTTTCATTTTAGTGCTTCGACGTTAAAAACTTAACGCGTTTAGTACATAAACTATCAGTTTTGGTTCATTTCAGCCATATATCCTTAACGTTAATGTCAACCTAGATTCATGATGATTATCCGTAGGCAAATAATATAAATACACTCCACTATTAATAAATCACTTGAATTTTTTAATGATCATGTCGTGAGATCATAATTGATCAGAGAAGATATAATACTAAGATGTTACAAAAAATTCTGGAGTATGTGAAACGAGAAAGATAACATATGAAAGAAGTATAATCGGGGACAAATCCACATGTTATGAGGGTAATGGCCCCTCAAACATTGATGGTCTAATTACCTTTTGAGTCACTTATAGTTTTAAAATCATTACAATTAAGTTTTTATCCATCCCATTTTTTTTGAAATTATTTTGGGTTATGTAAGTTTTAAAACTAATGAAATTAAAATTCAACTTAATTTATTTGATTTAGTTATTTTTTTAAGATTTTTGAATTTTTGAAAATTGATAAAACATAACCTTTAATCTCTTATTTTTTGTGATTTAATTATTTTTTAGGACTTATTTGATATAAAGTTAAATAACAGTCCTCCTTATAGTTCAATCTTGGCTCCGTCATACATAGAGATGACAATTTAACCTTAAATTGATGGCTTCGGACTCGACCTGATTTTATAGGGTCAGATTTTAAAAAAATAGATTTAAGTTAGGCGGGTCAAATTTTTTAACAGAGTGAGGTCAAGACAAGTCGGTTCAGGTAGAAGATTAAAAAACTCTAACCCGACCTGGGGATAATAATGTAATTTCTTTAAAAAAAATTATTATTTTTAATTAAATCCTTATTTTATACTTAGTTGGGTCGAATTTATATTCTAAAAAATTAGATCGGATCGAAATCATATGAATTATATATATTTTGGATCGGTTTAAGTAGGGTGAAGGATACATAATTTTAATGTCGGATTGGATTAATAAAAACCCGACCTTTGACCATCCCTAGTCCTGTAATAAAAATATAAATACGAACCTTGGAGCACCTTGTTTGAAACCTCTGCATCCCTAGAGAGATGTCTGATGAAAAGTGTCAACAGAGCAGCAGTAGTATCATGGCTAGCCATGATCAACGAGAGGAAGACATCAACGATCTCATCTTCCGACAAAGGTTGTCCGTTTTCGTCTCTCAAAGCGAGGAGACATGACACGATGTTGTCGTCCGTCGGTTCCACGGCCCCTTCGTCTTCTTGTTTCTTCCTAGAAATCACTATTTCCGAGAGCTTTTAGTAGAGCCTTCGACGTGCTTGCATCTCTTGGTGGAACACTGTGCCTGGGAAATCCAAAGGGATTCCCCACACTCCTTTCACCGTGAGCGTGAAGTCCTTTAACAGTTCGTCTTTCTCATTTCCGTCTCTTAATCAAAACAAATTAGCTGCAGGTAACGTTGAATGTTATCTTCTTCATTAGTGCAGGTCCGTCTCTTAACGGATCTCGACTCGACTCGACTTAAAAGGGAAACTCGAATTCGATCTCGACTCGATTACTTTAAACAAATAAACAATTGGCACAAGATCAATACCTTGAGCAACTGGTGCTGCACCAATGAGTCCATTTTAGCAGCAAACCGTTGAATGTTTTCCGGTCTCAAAAAGCCAACAATTGCACCCCTAACAAGCTTATGTCTCGACCCGGACATCTCAAACAGGCTGTTCTTCCCAAGCAACTTAACCACCGACGCCGGTTGATTCGACGAGAGGCCGTTATACCCGCCGCCGAACACGAACCGGTTCACGGCTCGACCCGTCACGATAACCATTTTCGACCACAGGATCGGTGTCTTGAACACCGGTCCGTAATTTTCGACACGGCTCAGTATCCATCGTTGGGTCTGGTCTTGCTTCTGTGCCTTCACGAAGCTTATCGTCTCTCCGATGAGTGGATACCCTAGTGAACCGGGCGCAAGGTTTCGGGTTGCAGGTGGTGGTGAGACTATTATGAGCTTGAAGAAGATGAAGAGAGCTAATGAAGCTCCCAGGATTGTGGATATGAACTGCGGGTTGAAGATGAAGAAAGGGTCTTTAATGGAGGACAAGACCTCCATTTTTGTTAGGGTTTTTTTTTATGGTTTTTGTTTAAAGAATCGGACATGGCCATTTATAGAGACAAAAACACAACGCCAGTGTCTTGTGAAAATGTTTTTATCAGATTTCAGTTATGAAACAGTGTTTTAGTTTGAAATGTTTTTTGTTTTATAATGGAAAATTGAGTTAATTGGAGTGTATATTACGACTCTCGATAAATTGGGTAAGTGTAAGATAATATCGGTTTAAATATAACTTTCAATCATTTGATATTAAATGCTCACATCTCTAACATTCCTGTCTGGTGCTTGAGCTCGGGACCTCAATAAATAACAACAATTTATTTACTACCAAGATCGCTTGGTCCGTGCCTAAGTTGATCTTTAAACCTTTGAATCTAAGTTCATCCTCAAAATATCACTCACATCCTATATTGATCCCTAAACTTTTGATTGTTTCAATTTCTTCCCCTAACTTTTGAATGATTTCGGGAACATTATTGGATCGTTCAAAAGTTTGAGACTAATTTAGAATCAGGGTTATAGTGATGAATTTAAAATGTTCAAAAGTTTGGAGATCATTTGGAATAAGAGTCATTATTTTGGGATGAAATTGGAATATTTAAAAGTCTAAGAACCAATTTGGAGTGAGGGACATAGTATGGAGACATGTAATGCAATTAACTCTATGAATTTTGATTTTCTTTCTTGGTCGAATTCGGTTTTGGTCCCCTTTACTATGTACAAATTTAGGATCTAGTATCTTCATTTGAATTTGTCCTTAGTTTAGACTTAGTCCTATTTTTATAATGTCATTAGATAGAGAAAATAGTCAATGTTGCTGTCATTTGATTTTGATTGGTTTTGAATATTTTTTTAATAATACGGTATAATATTCAATCTCATTTGAAAACTTGATTTCATACGTTTTGAATTTTGTATTTTGTAATAAACCATCGTAATATAATAAATTTTGACATTTTATAATTTCATCTCATCATAAAATAATTTAGGGGCCTCGTTTTAAAAAGTAACACATGACATTCATTTCTTTCGAGACGGGCCTGATAATATCTATATTATCTAGATTCATTTTCATCCATAACTCGAATGATATTAAGTGTTTAAATATCAACCTATCTAAACTCAATCAATGTTTATATATATTTTTATTTAGAAAAATGTTTATAGGGTTTTCAAGTTATTTTCTTTTATCTAACACAAAAACTATTTATATCTATACTATAAAAAGCTAATTATAAATTAAATAAAAATAGAATTCGACTTGATTCACATAATTCTACTTTTAAACGAGAGAACTGAAAATAAAAATGGTAAATTACGTATTTAGTATCTAAACTATTAATTTTGAATCATTTTAGTACCTAAACTTTTAATTTTTTTAAAACCATGACTAAACTTTAGTATTTATTTCATTTTAGTACAATTGTTCAAAATTTAACGTTAATGTTTTTGAAAATTGAAAGTTTGGGTGTTAAAACGGGCCAAAACTTATAGTGTAGTGTACTAAACATGTTAAGTTTTTAACGGTGGGTACTAAAATTAAATAAAAATTAAATGTTAGATATGATTTTGAAAAATTGAAAGTTTAGATACTAAACGGACCAAAACTAATAATTTAGGTACTAAATGTGTAGTTTACCCAAAGAAAAAACCAAACTAAATCTAAGGCGGTCGAACCAAAACTAAATTGTACGAAGTTTTATGATCTAATCGATGAAATGTATGAATGTTTTATGATCCAATTGATGTCAATTTTATGGGTTCCCCCCAAACAGTTCTACGTTCATTTGTATGAATCATGCATGCTTATCAGCTCATACCGGGTTAGTACTTGGTAGAACTAATGAAATGCATGGAATTTCAATGTTCCATGAAGTATTCGAGTAACCATAAGTATTGAATTGCATAATTTTAGTTGTAAATCAGATAAAAATGTGTACTGCGTTATCTCTGTAAAAGATAGCCAAGTGTATTGTGTGTTTAGGGAGTTTTACCATGTTTTGGGTTGTTTCACTATCTAATTGTGTGCTGGTACGGTTATCATTAGGACATATTTTGTGTCGGTATCAGTATCACTTAGCATTCGCTTCATAAATACTCCGAGTTCACGTGTCAGTATCACTGAACATTTGCCTCGTACATACTCTCAGTTCATCATTGATTAATCTGAAAATACTGGCATGTAGATTGTCACTTGATCTGCAAAATGACTTTATTGGCAGTTATGGTTTTGTTTGAAATATTTTTCCATTTTGCACATTTGGCCGCTTATAGCTTTGTTTAAGTGTGAATTGTAGGCAATGAAACTTTCAATAATGGGTCTAGTTAGGTCATGTTTTCGAAAGTTATGACCTTTTTCCGTTCATGTTTTGTTTGAAGCTTCTGAACTCGACTGTTTTATTCATCTATTATTGCTAAGGCGTAACTTGCCGTAGATGTGTGGTGAGGTGGCTGAGCTAGAGTATTTTCATCCCTCTGTTCACCACCCCTCACCTAGTTGGAATGGTAGTTTTGTCTCATAGATTTAACGATTGCTTATTGTGAGGTGAGTCGGGGTTTACATTGAGGTTTGCCACTAAGAAGCTACGTAAGTTTTGTAGGATCATTGCAAACAGGCAGTCCGCTGCTTGCTCTAAAGAGAGGAAACCTCGATATATGTCTGAACTAGAGAGAAAAGTTCAAACACTTCAAACAGAAGCAACTACTCTTTCTGCGCGACTAACCCTATTCCAGGTTTTCCTCGAACACCTACCTTTCTCATTGCACCATTCTTGAGCTTGATTGTGGTTACTATTTGTGTTCCTTCCTATGAAAATGTCATATCAACATTTTAAACAATCAAGGGAGAAGTATGCATACACCTCTTAGGTTTGATACAAAATGCATTTACGTTTATTGACCTCACGGAGCAATCGACACTTGGCAATTCTATTTTTTAATCAATAAATTGCTTTTTTTGCAATTGGGTTCCAGTTCAAATCCGAGTTTTAACAGTCTATGTTCAAATCCAGAGAGATGTGACAAGCTTGACTACGGAGAACACTGAACTTAAGCTTCTGCTACAGGCTATGGAACAACAGGCTCGGCTACGTGACGGTATGTTCTATCCTAACTAATTTACTCAATTCTCTCTAAGACGCATGCTTTCGTAAATGTATAACTACTCAAGTTAAGCAGTTTGTTATACCTTATTTACTAATACAAACCAGCATCGACACTAGTTTTAAATCAGGGATGCCTTTTTGTAAGTAGTGTTCTTGGCATTAATTTTAGTGTTCAAACTTCGGGTGCCATTAATGATGTTCCATGGAGATGTTAGTCGTGTTTGTATCATGTCCCGGTTATTTCACTCGGAAAACTATTGCGAACAGTTGTTAACTGGCTATTGTTTTTCTCATTGTTTGCTTCTGACCACAGCTTTCAGTGGACAACTGAAGAAGGAAGTAGAGACGCTCAAGCTTGCCACCAGAGAAGCAACACCCACGGGTTTGGGAATGCACAATATACCATACACACAATCTTCCTTCTTTCTTCCCCAGCCACGGCATATTCAAGTCGACACCCAGAATATACAAATGCCACCATTTCATCCCTTCCAATCTAACACGTTTACGACTAATCAGCCCGCGGTAGGTGCCTCATATTCACATTCGTTTTCCGATATGATGCAACAGGATCCTCTCGGCCAACTGCAGGGGCTTGATATCAGTAGCAGGGGTTCCCACTCTGTGAAATCCGATGGCTCATCGATTTCTGCCAGTGAAAGCAGTGGAACATTATGATACAAAAAATCCCTCGCCTGCACCGTCTCCTTCCCTATTTGTTGAAGTGTTCATAGGCTGACCTTATTGACATCGAGAGGTACAATCCGATCGAATTCGATTCTTTTAACAGTTTCGTTTCTGAGATTTCAGTTTTGATGTAGCTTTGCTAGGTGTAGGGTAATGCAGTATCATCTTGGACCAGCTGCTACCATTGTATTATCTGCTATAAGTACTATTCAAATGAATCCGAAATTTAATTCAATTAGTTCATGTAATCGTTCTTAAGAGATGATATTTAGGCCTATAATCATTGGGCACCAAATACATTATTAATGGAATCAACCTTGTATTTGAGCAATAATGGCTTTTGAGGCTACACCCTATGGTTTAAGAATGATGAAATAAAGTTTATAGCGAAATAGTATGCACAGATCTTATTTTTTTTTCCTTAAAATTGAGTCATATGTAATTTACATATCAACATGACACTAATTTGACTAAGGGTGATTAATGAGTTGAGTAACTTGTGAGTTGCTCGAATTTGATTAGGTCAAAGTTCAACTTGGATTGATTCGATTCGAACTGAGTTCGACTCGAGTCCTAAACGAATTGAGTTGAGTAAAGTTCAACTCGACTCGTTAAATTTAGTTTGGTGATAGCAAACACCAATTAATGGATTGAAGAGATGTTAGTTTCCTTATTTTTAATATTGATTATGTATCGTTGAACTTCTTTTTTTCTTTTTAAGAACGTTTTTATTACGTTAGTTTGATGTATTTGTGGATTGTTACCGTAGTTTTAATATGTTAATTTGTATATTTGTGGATTGTTACTTTGGAGTTTATAAATTGAGATTGCTTCCTACACTCTTTTGATAAATTTTTAGTTAAATTTATTAATCTATGTTTACATTAAGTTCTTTATTACAATAGTAAATTTTACCTATAGTTATAAAAATAAAGTAAAATTTCTAGTAAGTTTAACGAGCAACGAGTTAAGCACCAAGTTTTTTTAACGAGCACGAGTTGAGTAAAATTTTAACGAGTTTGGCGAGCAACGAATCAAGTCGAGCAACAAAATTTCTTAACGATCACGCATTGAACATTGCCATTGCCCAACTCGTGATTTACTCGCTCGACAAGCACACTTTTGTTTGGTTTTAGAAAATATAAGCTATTTTTATCTTTATAGAAAATAGAAAACGTCGAAGAAAATGTGTTTTGTTGTAAATTTGAAAAATGATTCCTGGAAAATGAAAAAAAAAATAAGCGAAAATGTAAAAACATAAAAAAGTTGTTTTCAATATTTTCATTAAAATTGTTTTAAAAATTCAAAAAAAAAAGAAATATTATATTTCGATTTTTAACTTAACTTACACATGTTTAAATAATTCTAACAATAATTTTTTGATTTAATGATATCTGAAACCCTTAAATTTTTGTAAAAAAATCAATATGGTCCTTAAACTTTTTTTGCATTCAATGTAATCATTAAATTAATTTCTTTAATAATTTAATTTAATAATATTTTTATATTTAATTTATTGAATATCTTAATAATTGTGTATATTTTTAATTTAAATAAATTTTAATTTCTTTAAAAATTAATAAGTCCTCAAACTTTTTAAAATAATCAATTAAGTCCCTCTACCACATCATCTTCCATTGAGTACTGTCAAAACAGTATCGTGAACTGTCAAATCAGTATTGTAGACTGTCATGTAAGTTTGTGAAGTGCCATGTAAACATCATGACAATCAACGTTTGATTCCGTTGTTTAAAGAGTTAGATTAATTTTTTTTCTCTAAGTTTAACGATCACATTCGGTGTAAAAAAAGTTCAAGGACTACACTAATTATGTTTCTCAAAAGTTTGAGGGTCTCAGTTACTGATAAACATATTCTTTTATGTTAATGACACTTTTGTGTGCTATTACTTATAACATTATTTTTGTGTATTTTTAAAATTTAGTTAATGTCTAATATGTATTAACATTATATTCTTATTATAAGTTAAAATAAATTTTGTTTTATAGAATTTCTTATCAATTTTATTGTTTTATATTTGTACAACTCATATGTTAAAATTATGTAATGTTTTTTTTAATAATTTTAATTTAATTTAATTATTTAATAATTATTCTTTCTATTTATATTTTAAAAATTAGATATCAAATATATTTTTAGTATTTTTAGTTTTGAATTCAAGTTTTAATTAATATTAACCAAACATGTTTTCTAATTTTCAAAAATTGAAAATGAAAACTATTTTTTAAAAATAAAAATAAAAAATGTTTTCTAAAACTAAATTCAAATATTCTAAAATGTGAATGATTCAAGTTTAAGATAATCAAAATCTCTAGTTAATTGTATCACATGTTCTTAAATTATGAATTTTATTTTAAATCGGTTCTCAATTTTTTGAATATTCTAATTTTATCTTCAAATTATAACCCTCATTTTGAATGTGTTCCAAGCTTTTGAATCTTTCAATTTCATCATTGAATTCATCCAAATATATAATTAATTTCAACCGTAGTTTAACCCATTTTTAAACATATAATAATATAGCTTGACATAACGATTTTATTAACAGGGTATGCAATTAACATATACTGATAGTTTGGGATGGATTTGAAATGTTTATGAGTATGAGAACTAATTTAGAATAAGAATCATAATTTAGGGAGCAAATTAAAATGTTCAAAAGTTTAAATATTAATTTTAAAAGTCATAGTTTAGAGATTAATTGAAATATTCGGAAGTTTAGAGATTAATTTAAAATAAGAATTATAATTAGAGTACATAACATCATTAACTCTGAAATCTAAACCCATTCGACAATCTTAAAACTAAAAGGAATAAACTACATGTTTAGTAATTTAACTTTACTTTCTCTCATATTTCACTCATCATATTTTTATTTTTTTTTTAATTTACTCACTAAACTTTATAGATTGATTTTTTTTTGTTATTCCGCCATTAAATAATTAATAATGTTATTACATGATCGTATTTTAATCAAAATGACATCATTTTTAGTCTAATTTTTTTTAGGATTTAGAACGACATTGTTTTGTTGTAAGTTACCATGTCTTAACATTGTTTAATTATTAACGACAGAGTGATAAAAAATTCAATCTATAAAGTGCAATGAGTAAATTGAAAAAATTGAAAGATGTTGAGTGAAATAGGAGAGAGACTAAAGTTTAGTTACCAAAGGTGTAATTTACTCAAACTAAAATTAAACTTTTGGGGTAAAAATTGAAAACAAGAAAAGTACAAAGGCCTAAAAGAAAATTAGGGTTTCAGACTTCATTAGAGATACTCTCCTATAAAGACTGCATTTTTGCCCAAAATCATATTCTTCCCCAGCCGGCAGAAGCAGAGAGCCTACACTTTAATCTCAAACAATGGTTAGATTTCGTTTCATCTGTATTTTAAGCATCTGGGTCTTTGTAAAAAATCAATCTTTTTGCTCAATTTTGATCTCTTTGATTGTTTTTTTCTTAGACTTTCAAGCGTAGGAATGGTGGTCGCAACAAGCACGGCCGTGGCCATGTCAAGTTCATCCGCTGCTCTAACTGTGGAAAATGCTGTCCCAAGGTACCTTACATCTGATTTTCTCATCTGGGTATCTGTTTTTTTTCTATATGTTTTTTGTTTTTATTGATTTTTTTTGGAACTTAATAGGATAAGTCAATCAAGAGGTTTCTTGTGAGGAACATTGTGGAGCAAGCTGCTGTCAGAGATGTCCAGGAAGCCTGCGTCTATGACAGTAATTTTTACTTAATTTCTTGATACCGAACATGTTTGGATTTATTGTTTGGTGATTGATTGATTGGTTGTTGTTGTTATGTAGCCTACACTCTGCCGAAGCTGTATGTGAAGATGCAATACTGTGTTTCATGTGCGATCCACTCCCATGTCGTGAGGGTTCGATCTCGTACCGACAGGAGGAACCGTGATCCACCCCAGCGTTTCATCAGGCGCAGGGTATGCCCTTTTCTAACCTATGATTTGATGTTTGTTACTTTTAGTGATCTTTTTATATGTGAATAAAGTTCCTTTAGCTTGCTTTGTTTGTTTATCATTTTCTTGTATCTCATGATAAAAGATTTGTAAATGTCTCATTTAAAGGTATGTTTCTGTTACCATTTAGTGTAGTGTTTTCAATGGAATTTGAACCATTGAAATTGATAATCGTTTGTAGATTTATCGACCTATGAATCCATGACTGTTGTTAGATTAGTTTGTATTTTTGCTTTGTTGTAGCAAATGAATTTTTGAGAATTCGTCGAAGACTCTGCCCCTTTTAAGTTTTCAGTGATTTACGAATGGGAAGTAGTTCTTAATATCTAATAGTCATCTGAATCACTTTGTGGTTTGCCCCTCCTGATGGCTTATTGATCATTATGGGGTGGTAGATTTGGAAACATTTTCGGGTAGCGCTATATGCCTCTCATTTGTATAACTCTCTGTAGTATGTTATAGGATGCTATTCATTCGGATAAACTTTTGCTGGCGTGGTAGATATTCCAACATTTCAGATTGTGATTCATGAGAGCATCATTATAATGGTGTTCCCCTACAGCTGAAATTCCAAGTGCTTTAGGGATGAACGGGTCACTTATATGTAATATCCATCTATCATTTTGTCAGTTGCCTTTTTGGGTGGCATGCTGATCATTATAAGATGGAAATCGGCTTTACATAGATGTCGGTTGCCTATTCTGTGTTGATTTTTGTTTGTTTCCAATGTTTTCTCAACCACTTGTATTCAATAGCTTCATTAATTTTGTATGTTATCTTGATTTTACCAGGATGATATGCCAAAGCCTGGACAGCCTGGCCAAGCCCCTCGTCCTGGTGTTGCGGTTCCTCCTCGTGCTTAAGCTTCCTCAAGTTTTGGATGGATTTCCATTGTGTTTTACTTTGAAATGTGCACTTGAGTTATGTAGACTTTTAGTTGTGTAGGAAGGTTTTGATTGGTTGAAACTTATTCGCATTACAAAATTTTTTGTTAAGCTATAATTGTTGAGAAAACTAGTTGGATTCTCATAATTTCGATTCATTTGCTTTTGGTTCTACAAAATAGCTCTAACTTATTCTTAAAACACCAGTTACCAATTGAGATATTGTTCGTTTACAGTACGTTATTATCGACGCTAGACTCGAGCTAGCCGAAGTTGGAAGCTTTGTTCAAAGTCAGTTGAGTTTTAGTACTTTTGTTAAGTTTAACTTGGTAAAGAACCGGGCAACATTTGCACGACATCGATGCTCATACTTTGCTGGGTTGATTAAACACGAAATTCTTAGCAAATGAGCAGAGTTTGAACAAAATGCTACAAACAATTTACAGATCATCTTAGATTTGGTTGCTACTGGCATCTGTCTCCTACATGCTTGATTCTCATCTCAGCTAAACACATGTTTGAATTTGAACAACTCAAGCCATCTGATCACAGAAGTTATATAAAATGCTTTCTGGGTTCGGAATTTTCAGTGAAGATATGTGATTGTTCGGAAATCCGATGCATCCGACTGCCATGGAAGTCTGTCTTGATAACAGTCATTAAGTACTTCATTGATAGCTCAATTAACCAAGATAACAGATCATCATCCTGCTTAAAAGCTCTTGCTTTTCTAGGCACTCTTAGCCTAGCTTTAATTCGGAACTTATTTTGTTTCAGTTTTTGGTTTCCGGTAGTTTCATTAAAGATTGAATTATTTTGAAAAATAGAATTATGATGAAGTGAGATGATGTTCACATGATGGAAAAAATAAAATTTCTATTTTAAGAATTTTAATATGTAAGATCTACATATAAGATCGTATTAATTCATAACTAAATCGAATCAAATCAAATCCAAATAGAATAAAATTTTTCTTCTTTTATTTTCTTACTTCATGGTAAACAAAATCAAAACTTTACCTAAAAAGTTGAATATTTTAATGGTTCTTTACTGGATTTCACTGTTTTCTTACATGTGGAACACACGTGTAAGTTTCTTTTATATGATCCCATGGTGGGTTGCCACATCACCACCCTCCCAATACAGGGGGAAAGTTGGGTGTTGGTTCATTTCCATTTCTGTTTCTGGAAAGGGTTAGGGTTTGCTGTTCTTTTGATAGATTTTTATTGTTTCATTGATTGATAGTTGAACTTGAAGCATCTGTCTTTTGTCTTAGCTTGAGACAAAGAATCAAAGATGATCTTTTTGTTCCTCTTCTTCTTGCCTGGAAAAAAAGGAGAAACATTGTTCAAGCAGTGCTCCATGAGACAAAGCAGAAGAAATTTGGTAACTCTATTGAGGTAATGATTCTCACCTATGGACTTGGTTTTTCAAATTTCTGTCAAGTTTGGAACTTGAGGTTGTCTTTAAAGTAGTGTGTAGTAGCTAGGTTGAAGATGATGCACCCTGGCTTCGCATTCACATATCCTTCATTTCAAAATAAGAATGTCCCCTTGTTCTTGATTTTGTGTTATTTGCACATTGGAGACAAAATTAGTATATAGCATATGTATTCGATCCGGGAACTTAGATAAGTTGATTTTGATTCTTACCGTTACTTTTAAGGGATGACATTTAATGGATTATGTGACTAGGGATGTTGAAACATAGGAGACTGAATAAGTACATACAATGTGTCTTCGATCCCGGAACTTAGGTCAGTTGATTTTGATTCTTATTGATACTTTTAAGAGCCGACATTTAGTGGTTATGTGAGTAGGGATGCTGGAACACAGGAGACTGAATAAGTACATAAGGTGTGTCTTCGATCCCTGAACTTGGATAAGTTTGGTTTTGATTGTGTTATTTGCAGTAGGACTTAGGAGACAAAATTAGTACATAACATGTGTCTTCTAGGGATGTCGAAACATAGGAGAATGAATAAGTATGCAACACGTGTTTTCGATCCCGAAACTTAGATCAGTTGATTTTGATTCTTACCGTTACCTTATAGAGTCGACACTTAATAGGTCATGTGAGTAGGGATGTTAAAACATAGGAGACTAAATAAGTACGTAACACGTTTCTTCGATCCCAGAACTTAAATCAGTTGATTTTGATTCTTACCGTTATTTTCAAGAATCGACATTTAATAGGTTTGAAATCAGAATCATTTCATTAAAAGTATAATCTAAAATCTTCTAGGACATAGTACGAGAGGATGACAAATACTTTCATCTGATACGTGTGTCTAGACATAATCGATTTGACATATAAATGTATCCATTTGAACACTCATATTTGACATGAAGTATTGTATGACGTATAAAGTCAAATGCCACAACATCGGATAGATCTCTAGAAGTTATGAATCCGACAAGATCAAAACTAAATAAAATTAAAAATGTACATCTTGAAATGATTTGGAATTTGTGAATCTATTTCACAAGTTCCCATATGAGCTGGAATCCATCAAATGACCTCAATGGTAAAAGAGAAATTTGATCTACCTAAAATTCTTGGGTTCAACCAGCGGTGTCTGCAGAGTGTGTTTGTGTCATCAATATGTTAAAAAAGTTTAAGTATGAGTTGATATGCACAAATAAGACAAGCAGTGTCATCACTAGGCAAGATAACAAGCCCAGAATCTCATGGAAATCAATGCAGTCCATGGTGATATTTGGTAATAAAATGAGGGTAAAAAATGAAGAGCAGTCAAGATTCCTTTAAACTTTGTAATTAATACTGGATATGTTTTAATTCTAATATGGCAATATGCTGACCAATAATCTGCTTTTGTATCATTAATGAAGAAGAAATTTTTGCCAAGATAAACTCTGCAATTTGGAACACATTCATATGCTTTATACCCTTTCCATTGACCAATAAGTGTGCCATAAACTGCTAGTTGTATTCACCATTTGTTCCAGTGTACCCCTAGTTTTCTTCTTCTTCTTTTAACCTTTAATGGGGTGAGATTCTTTTGCTATTTATTACAAAATTTGAAGGGTCTTGGCCAAACTTTTTTTATTTTCCAGTACTTATTTTTTTCAATTATTATAAACATTTATGGTGAAGTTTTTAGCCACTAAAAATAGCGTTAGATGATGGTGAAGTTGCCATATGTACATTTAATAATTTAATTCCATTAATTTGCCTAAACAGAATATCCCTAATGAGAACATACATCAATTCACTAACCTTGATAAAGGGTAACAATTTTTCTTTTATTATCCTGGCTTAAATCTGAATATTGTATAAGGGTATTTTTATTTTATTTTTTTAAACTTTTATAGAATGTGATCGGATCTTTATATCTATGTTCGGATACGGATACTTAAAAAATCGGAAAAAAATAATTTTTTTCCTTGTTAACCAGAAGTTAGTCCATAGGATGACTCATAAAGAGGATGGAAATTTATAGCCCCTGGCAAAGGCTAAGAATACTTCCATTATAGTATTTTATATATGCATATATGTAGATTTACCAACCTCAATTTGAAATTTAAATACTTTAATTGTGTGTTGGATAAATTTCCTTATTTACTCTTATGTCTTTTTTTACACAAAAAAAATTGAATATTTTCAATTTACCAAACTAGTCCCGCCTTTATGTTTAAAATTGCAGTTACACCACAACTTTTGATTTTATATAGCCCATCTTTGTGCTTTATTAGAGGGCTATTTGAAGACGACAAAAAGAGGTTTTCAGGGGTGGAGCAGTATATGTCAAAGCCACTTTGAAACATAAGTTTCAAACTCAAGTGTAGCCGTTTTTCATCTTCTTCTTCTTTCTGCTGTCTTTGCTCATTCTTCTACTACTTTGTCAACACTTCTTAATGATCTCTTTGTTGAAGTGAAACGGAAAAAAGAACTTGTCTTTCTTCTACCATTGTATCTTGTTCTTTTTTCTCTCTCCATGGCGTCAGTTTCTTCTTTATTTTGATTCTTCTCTTCAGTTGTGGGGATTTGCAGATGTTGGTTTTCTTCTTGGTTACCATTGGAATGGTGAATGTTCCTTGGTTGTTTTAGAGAGAAAAAAAAGTTTGATCTTTTTATTTGCAGAATGGAAGATTTTCAAGTTTGTCTGTCGCCTTCTTCATCTTTGTATTTTTCGTCTACTTCTTCTTCATCACCTCTCCCCCACCCATTTTCTCCTTCTTCTTCTTCTTATCTGTCTGTGTCATCTTCTTCTTCTTTCTCTTCATCTACCACCCCACATCCATTGTCAATTGACGATGAACTCTGGCTGTTCTCTGAGAAACGAGCCCAGGAGATACTTTGTATCGTTCAACCTTCTTTGGTTTCCGAGGAAAATCGAAAAAGTGTTATTCTTTACTTTCAGAGGCTAATCAGAGCTTACTGTGGCAGTGAGGTATACTCAATTTCCCTAGATTTTTGGTGTGTGTTTGTGTAATTGGACAAGTTCTAGCTGTTTTTGGTTCTTGGGCTTCCATTGTCTGTTTAGGAACTTTGGCACTACTAGGAAAATCTTTTGATTTTACTAGGAAAATCTTTTTTATCATCTGTGTCTTGCTGTTTGGTATATGGTGTATTGTCCCTTCTAATACTTAGCAGGAATGGAGTTACCTATAGCTGCGAATCAAGTTAATTTTGCGGAGTTTGTTTTATGCAGTGAGCTCTGAGCATGCATGTATTACACTTGTGAACATGGATATCAAAGTTATTTACTTGATCTTTTCGAAGGCAAAGGGTACCTGACTGATATTTCCTTGTTTCGTGCTGTTCTAGCCTGACAAGCAATGAAAAAACGGAACTCAAAGTCTCGGTGATTGTTTAGAAGTGTGATGAATTAAGACCGATTTGGTTTGTCTTTTGGAGTTATACTCGACTAGCTTCTTAATGCACTTTAGCATGTGTTTTTATGGTCTGTTAGTGATGGTTAGTCATTTCTTGATGATTGATTCTTTCTGAAGAGAAAAGTAGCTTGCATAGCTTTGGATTCGAGTGTTTGGCTCCAAAGAGTGCGGACGCATGGGGTTTGATCTAGTCATATAATTAATTAACCGTTTCCTCGAACCTGATAGATCGTCCTTTTAATATTACTTGCTTTCTTGGAAGTAAACTTGGACTACAGATATAAATAGATTGAGCTTCGTAAATGCGTCTCTTTTTACGTCATCACTTTTGCGGTTAAGTCACGTGCATTAGTAAATGCATCTCACTCGGTTTGTAAATCTCCTTTTCTAGGTTGAGCTATTCCGTAGGGCATATATCAGTTTTACTATATGATTATTTATTACAAATTTTCACAGATTCAAGGGAAAATAACCATTAGAGAGGATCAAGTAGCAGTTCGTTGTATATTTACTTTTTTTTCCATTCTAATGCAGTTCGTTTACCTTCCCATTTGCTTTTCAGGTGTTCTCGTTTGGCTCAGTCCCGTTGAAGACATTCCTCCCCGACGGAGATATTGATTTGACTGCGTTTACTCAACAAAATATGGAGGAAAATTTGGCACAATATATCTGCAGTATCTTGCAAGATAACCGGCTAAACGCTGGGTTCATAGTTCAGAATGTTCAATATATTCCTGCACAGGTTCTGTTCCTTTCATGTGTATGAACTTATGTTTTGTGACACAACATAACAGTGATATTCTGGCGGACGAATGGTACCAAGTTCTTTTGTTGGTACTGCACAGATAGAAAAATTATTGAATCAAGATATAATGTTTATAGCATATTAATGTTCGTAACTATAGCAGCAAATAGAGTCCAAATCATTTCGTTCTGATATTTGTTTGTTTTTGAAATTTTATGTCAGGTTAAGATAGTGAAATGTACTGTCAACGATATACCGGTAGACATTTCTTTCAATCAAATGGCTGGTCTATCTGCACTATGCTTCCTGGAGAAGGTATTGTCTAATCTTATCACAAACATCTTGATCGAGATAATCCAAATTCATATAATTGACTTTATATAACAGGCGAGAGTAAAAAAATATAATTCTAAATGGTATATCGTTTTGTTTTTTCAGCATTCGTATTAAGTCGTTAGATGATCTTGGTTGGGCTACTTAGCGTTTTATCCTTGTTTTCTGTACAGACAACGAACCAGCGTAGAAGTCAATTTAGCCTTTCCTTTTTTTCTATATATTAAGTCTCTACTCTTTACTGGATTTGAGAGGAACTAATGTCTCTCTCTTCGTGTGACTTCTTTGGAACGGTTTGATTTGCAGGTCGACCAACTTATTGGCGAAGATCATCTTCTCAAGCGCAGTATCATCTTGATCAAGGCCTGGTGTTATTATGAGAGCCGAATTCTTGGTGCACACCATGGCTTGATTTCTACATATGCATTAGAAACGATGATCTTGCATATCATTAATGTCTTCCATTCATCCTTATGTGGTCCACTATCGGTGAGTTATTCTTTCCCATCTAGCATTTTCCCTCATCATCTGCGAAATTCGGGCAACGGCACCATTAATGTTTTGTTTACAGGTCCTTTACAAGTTTTTAGACTACTACAGCAGCACATTTGATTGGGCAAATTACTGCATCACTATAAGTGGTCCAGTTCCCATATCCTCCCTTCCAGCAGTTTTCGGTAAGTTCTGAGTAGTGCATTATTCTCGATTCATGTAAATCTAATCATTCGGTTTAAATCTAGTTTTTTTCTTTATAATTTTGCAGCTGGGACTCCAGAAACTGATGGGGATGAACTTCTGCTTAGTCGGGACTTTTTGAGGTACTGCAGAGAAACATTTTGTGCTTCGCTGCAGTCCCTTGAGATCGGGGCCAATGCTTTTCCCGTCAAGTATATGAACATCGTGGATCCTTTGAAAGTACACAACAACCTCGGCCGAAGTGTTAGCAAGGGTATAATGACTTATTTCGAAATGTGAACCGGGTTTCGATTGTTGTTCTTTTTTTATAAAGGGAAACTATTAAGCATGTGTCTTCCTCGACAGGTAATTTTCATCGAATTAGATGTGCACTTACCTATGGGACACAAACGCTCGGGGAAGTCCTGATGCTTCCTGGTGAAAACATGGGTATAGGACTTGAAAAGTTCTTTGTTAATACTTTGAATCGGAATGGAAGAGGGCAGAGGCCGGATGTACAAATTCCAGTGCATGCCTTTGGCACTGGCAAATCTGAAGTTTCTCGTCTGAGCGGTGACTTTGATGTTTACTATAACGCTCTACTGTATAGCCAATGGTATCATTACTATGCATTGAATGTTCCTGTCATGCCAGCAACCACTGTATCATCACCTTCTCAGACACCAAAGCACGGTGCATGGGATGCCCTACGGCTGTTTGTTAGGTGCAAACGAAACACTTTTTATCGTAAGGGAATGAATGTTTTTATCCCGAGATTACAATTCGTTCATCCTTTTGCACTCCAGTTACCAGCTGCATATGGTATTGACAATATGACGAAGTCGAGAGGAACCGGCACTTACATCCCCTACATGGTACGATAGTCTCGACGAATGATCTACTTGTTTACTGTTAAATTGCTGACCTAAACCGAAACTAAGATTGGTTGAACATTTCTTGCAGACACATCAGTCCTATAGCGAGATGCAAGCATGTACGAGCAAAAGAAGAAGAAATCACAAGCCGTCAACTCTTGTTCCGTCGCAGAACTTACGAAAAGAAAATGACCCCATTGAAAACAACCGTTTGTCAGAGAACTCACCAAACGAAAATGACCCCCGTGGAAACGGCAATTGCCCTGATCTTGGCCTTTCAACCGAACAATTCCCTCTTCTTCCATCCACCAAAAGGACTACAGCAGCCGGTCCATCTCGTTCGCCTGCATTCAAGAGTCCGGTGCCCGAAAATGGTGGCTCTCAATTCTTATCAGCTATTAAATTTGGTTGTTACGAGGGTTCATCAACGCATTCACCATCACCCTCATTGAAAGATCCGAGGTTATGCATGCCTCTGGTCGAAAAGAAGAAGAAAAAAGAGCTTTGCGAGCGCAAAAGGTAAAACGCATTGTAGAAAATTCGAGCCACTCGTTGGTTTTCGTTTTCCCTTTGCTAACCGCTAACCGTGTATGCTGCAGGGCTCCCAGAGAACCTTTCCAGCTGCAAGACGATGAAGACTTCCCTCTACTATCTATGTGAACGAATGTTCACCGGAGGCTGCAGCTGCGAGTCGATTGAAGAACAATCGACGAATGAGATTGCGCCAACTGCTGTACCGTGATGTTGTAGACACAGTTTTGCTTAACTTTTTCTGTAATCTAGAGGGGACATAAACCAGTTATGATGGACTTTGTTTATCATAAATTAGTGTTTTAGGGATGGTTTTAAACAATCACCAACTGATAATATCCCTATCCTTTTCTAATCTTAAATACAAATTTTAGTTTGATCATCAGTTTTGTTGGGTATTCCATGCAGCTAGTGATCTGGGATTACATGCATGATGCATGATCATATGCATAGCCTCATACATGGCTGTGTTTCCATGCATGCTGAAGTCTCCCATCCCATGTATGCCATGCATATGCTTCCGTTAACTTTAGATATAATTACAGTTCATATGATTATCAAACAGTGAAGAACTAAAAGGGGTACAAAGAGTAATTAAACTAGAAAAGTTAAAAAGGTCCCGAGCTTAATTTAAATGATTTTAAAATTAATAGGGTCCTAAAGAATAATTAAACCATGAAACTAAGAGTTCAAAACTAAAAGGACCTAATTAAGAATTAAACCAAAAAAGTTAGCTCCCAACATCAATGTAACTTATTACTACCCGGTTGCAGATGTTCGCTTCCTCTGTGCACCCAATTTTGGTGCAGCCGGTTTAGTTCCTCTCCCTCTTCCTGCCGACAACGACTTCGCCTTGGTCGTTGGAGGGGGAGCTGCAATGGCTGCCCAGGGATCATCATCCTCCACTGCTCCACTTGGTTTAACTTTCAATGATTTCGAAACAACTTTCGGACGAGCCGTCGCTATAGTACCCCACATGTCATCATCTTCGTCTTTTGCCTTCACTGTACTCTTTGATCTCAAAGTTGCGGCTGAGAATTCAAACACACGAGATACAAACCAATATATGTATGTATGTGTGTATGTTTTTGTGTGTGTGAGCGAGTGTATAATGAGATTATCTGAATTCCATAAATGAATGCACAATGTTACCTTGAGGTTTAGGCTGTGAAACCGGTTGTGATACGGAACGCTTTTGAGCTGCCTGGATGTTTGCCAAAGATGGAGATGGCTTCAGCCCTTCGAGGGATTTGATATCGTCCCATCCGTCTTTGTCACTGTCTTGTTCTTCATGAATTCCGTTCTCAATTTCTCCCCATCCGTCGGTTGAAGCATGGGACGGAGGTTGATCAGTGAAGTCCGGACTGATACTTGCACGGGAGACTGGTGCTGTACTTAAAGAGTTCCTATTTCTCCTATGGTTGTCGATGAAAACTGACATTGGCTGTGGAATGATCGAATGAACACGCCACATAAAATCATGTAGAAGTAGAGACCACAAGCACGCCACATTAGAGATGATATGATCAAACGAACACACCCGAGCTGGCTGCCGAAGTTGCGGTGGTTACAGGTCGGGCAGAATAGGCAGAAGCACCCGGAGCATGGTCAGAAGATTTACCTTTAAGAGTCAAGGAGCCCATGGCCCATCTGCAGTCATAATCTTAGTCATCAACACCATAACAACACACTCGGGCAAAAAAAGGGCCATAATCTTAGCCAACGAAGCACCACATTCCGGTGAAACAACCTTCTTTCGGTAGGACAACACTCAATATGTCGTCCTACGATAAATTTTGTATACTTACTCCAATAAACCAACATTTCCTGGCATTCCTGCGATCCCTAAACTTCCAGCACCAGAAGTATCTTCAGCGTAACTCTATAAAGAGCCAAGGAGAACAAGCGTCACTATAGAATATGATAACATAACAAAGACGATATCGATAATTTCGTAAAGTTCACCTTCTCATTGGATTGCTTCAGTATCTGTAAAAATTGATCAATTGCTTGAAATACCTTTGACCTTACATCAGTGTTTACAATACAAGAGAATGCATTTTTCATGTACACTGACAGATTATAATAGCAAAGGCAGAAATAAATAAACGGATCTGCAACAACACGACCTGTCGGGATCAATGGTAAGCACGACAATATTTGGAAGAATCCGAGTTGCAATCTCATTCGTATCGTAATAAGAACTGGTGGCGCATAGAGCCATAACTCCTGTCACAATGTAGTTTCATATTAGTTTGAAGATCGAAAGCATTTCCGAACCCGATAATACCAGAAATTAGCAACAAACATGTATACCTACCTGCTCCTCGGGCAGGAGGGAAAGTATCACGCAGTGCACGGACTGTAAATGCATTGATCAAAACTCTCTTCCGTGTCTGCAATTTTTGAGCAAGGGAGAACGCTTTATAACAAGGGGTAGTTAACGGAATTTCAAACGGAAACGGAATGAGTGACACGAAAAGAAAGGATCATGCCATCAGTAAGTGTAACTATGTATCGTAATCAAGATACTCGAGGACTGTCCTCGGACCTACTAACCCCTTCATTTAGGCAGCTTGCAATGTTTCCCAGTAATAAGGTAGTATTTATTCTAATTGCAGGCTCTTCATCAACCTGTCATAAAATAACATGAAAACTCAACTAGTGAATTAGTAATATCATATATGTACATATAATGTATAACCCGAAAAAGAGATTGATAGATGCGGATCAAACCTGTAACTTCGAAAGGTACTTCAATAGAGAGCCCGACAAGTTACGTTGTGAAAGCTGCAACAAAAAGTAAGATGAAGCAACTTAGAAAGGACTCAAATGGCAAATCTACATTAGAAAACTAAATAATCCACAAAGCTTCAACATCATGGAGATAATATGGAAACATATGGGAACTAAAATCACAAGCTCATGTGGAACTCAACCTTAGGAGCTAATAAGAGCATGGACTTAAGAGTTAATTCCCGGAGAAATGCAGATGTGTCTGCAAATCCAGCGGCAACATGGGGGTAAACCTAGTCGGAAAAATCAAAATGAACTGTCGAAGTTCGTTATAATATCAGGAGTTCCAAGTTAAGTAACTAGAATCAGACCGAATGAGGGCGAAACATGAAAATCACTTTGCCATGAACTGCTTACTTGTTCATCAACAACTTGAGCTGATAAAGATTCTCCATATTGATCAATATGCTGTAACAGAGCAATTCGAATGGCTAGGTCATTGTAACGGAAAAGTTTAACGATTGTAGGCAGTACCTGGAAGGAGAAGCCTAGTCCAGTCAGCCAAGATTACACGAATAACCGCAGACTGGAAACAGAAATGGAGTATGACCTTGAGGTTAAATTCTTCAGCTGACAACCAAGAACCGATCTTCAACAGTGCATTCAAAGCATGGGCAGCAGCCGAACCATATTTAAGGGCAGAGGTTAACAAAGGAAATATCTGCAAGGCAAATCACTATGATTAGTCTTCATTGACTTATCACAATCGAATTCCGAAATCTGCACCTTCTTCAACACAATTTGGCGAGGAAGCTGCTCTACTAAATTAGGAAGCTTGCGAAAGAAGGTATCCTTCTCTTATCTTTCAAACTGAGAATTTCCATGAAATGTATCGTGTCCACCAACTAATTTCAGAAAAATTCTGACAATACAAGCGTTTTAGAATTCAGTATCGCCATGAGGGAAAAACAAGACACAGGAGAAGGAACTTTAGAAATAAATAGTTTAAATCAACTTAACAAGTATAGTAATCGACCAAAAAAGTGCATAAAAACCGAGAAATAACACGATTACTACGTTGCAAGAATAAAGGACAGTCTATGGCACTACAAAGAGATCGATAATTAGGTGTTTTTAGTTGCAGAATTAAAGACTAAATCTCATGCTTATAAAGCTTAACTGGACTTGTGAGACCATTGCCAAAACTACGATAGACTCAAAACAAAGTGCACTCAGCCACACTCACCACTGTTGTCTATAAGCTTCGATGTATTCAACCTGCGAGAAGGCATGGAGCTCAAGAGCCGCTGATAATCTGGAAGCAGAGACTGTGAGAGAAGAACATAGTTGGATGAGTATGAGATGAAGCTTGCAAGGAATCAAAATGAAATAACCCTACATGCAGCATGAATATTCATGAACACAAACACTCACAGTAGACATTAATTTGAAGTATGTCGCATGCATCTGGGCTTAACTGGCATATTGCACGAAAAATGTCATAACAAGAGCTACAAACCTTTGGAATAGAAGAAGTGTTCCGCAGCTCCTCAGTTTTTCCCAACATCATGCCAGAGAAAATCTCATAAATAAGACATCCTATCAAATTAATAAAAATGTTCAGATTGCATAGAGAATTACATGGAAAAAGAAACAAAGAAATAGGTGACGTAACCGAAACTGAACCAAACAATGGATATCTTTCTTTTTATCAGTCCACATTAAATAAGCATATTTTCAATCACGTTTCTTGAATAGCCTAATAAATGCCCCAGCATAGCCAAATGAACATTAAGCTATGAATCTTCAACCAACACTGGGGTCTAAGAGACAAGAATAACAGCCAATATCAAACTCGAACAGAAGTCAAAATAAAACCCATGTCGGAAAACATCGTCCTTTCTTAATGAAATATGAGGAGGAAAATGTACCCAAGAGATCAATGTGACAATATACATGCTAAAAAATTAGCACAAACTAAGTTATCACCCATTGAACCACGCCCACCGAACTAATTACACCAATGCATCAAAAGAAACAATACAAACTTACCCAAACCCCCAAGAATCAATAGCCCATGGTGGAGCTTCTCTGATAGCAACCCAGTCAGACTTTGCCAACTCCACTGGTTTGTATTGTGATCCAATAAGCCATTCATATTGCTGATTTAAACAAACAGAGGATTAATTACCTAAGGCAGTTTTTACAAATAAGAAAGCAAAGTGACCTTGAGAATCCATGGAAGGTATCAGAAAGAAAGAGAAAGAAGGATAGATCTACTAGAAAGAGTTTCATAGCATGGTATGCATGGAAAAGAAAAAACTTCTGATACAGAAAGCACATAACAAAAGATTTGTACAACAATGGAAGCATATATTTTGTTTATGAAAACTCGATGCTGAACAAAATTAGATAAGCAAAATTTAAGATTAAAACAATGTCTTATTGATCTTCAAAAATAACTTAAAACACTTTGCTTGCATCCACACTAGCATTACCAGCATTGGTCCTGTGGCGGTTCCATTAGCCCCGTCATGCTCAGATAAAACATCAAAAGCATGTAGCTTCCAGTCCAAGGTTTGCGTTACAACAACACTTTCCAGACAAACATTGCCATGAACCTGTACCATCCAAAGTTGGTCAAAAGTGTGATCTTGA